ATTTGCTTTTTTCTGGCTCTGGATTTTTTTTTTTTTTTCCCTGTTCTGTTTCTTTCTCATTGAACCTCGCCATCACACAGTGCCTGTTCTGTTCTATTCTCATTCCTCTGTATGGACATAAAATGCTGTTCTTTTACCCCATCATATATATCCTGTTTTTCGTGTGGGTGTTTTGCTTCCTGGTGGCATTTGATTTCACTACCCATGGGTGTCCTTGGGCTGACAGACCCATCCACCCACTACCTGTAAAATGTGTATGTGAGAGAAAGAGAGTCTGGTGTTGATGTCATATGATAAATTACTCTTGCATGAACTACTGCATACTCAATCATCCTGTTCACTTCACAGTGCTCACAGTCTGCAGTTATTCTCTCATACTGATAATTTTATTTTCTTCTAATTCCAGTCCAGGGGCCCGTTCTTCGTACCTCGCTTAATACATCTGAGATGATTTGAAAGATGCCAGATCTTCTAATTGTGATAACTAATCACTGGCTAATTTGGTTCTTCAAACAAATTTGTGGATCTGATTAAAATATCTGGATTAAGTTGTCTAAGATTACTGAGCATTCTCGTATTCCCTGTAAAGGACAGATCGATACTCGAAACCATGATCAGTAGTGCAGCGATTGGCTGGCGGCAAGACAGCAACGTAATGACATCATATAATTAAAAAAGACACCTGACAAAACTTTGCAAATTTCTGGACCTTTATAAGGAAACAGCCAAGTGAACAAAACTACATAAATGTTATAATATATAAATGAAATGTGCACTGTTTTTATTTTATTTTATTTTATTTTTACATGAGTCCCAATTATTTATATTCACGATTTCTAGTATTTGTACAGGCATTGCATTTTAATTTCAATGTTGTAATTAGCAATTCATGTTATTTTATCTTTGAAGCAGATTTGACCTGCCTGCCTTCCGTACAGTCTGTTAGCCAGCCTGATCACTTTGAATCCACCCTTTGATTGGAGCATCATAGCCCCCTACTAGGTTTTTGTGACCCATATGAAGTTTTACTGTGTTATTCTGGGCTGGCCTGCTTGTCCAATTATGATAGCTCTCCCCAAGGCGTCACTAAAAAGAGAAGAGCGCTATGTAGGCTTGAGAGAGACAAAAAGGGACGTGGGAAATTTTGAGGACAGAAGTTCTTTAGCAGATAAGAATCCTTTAATGAAGATGAATGTATGTGTGACAGGTTTTATGCATGAAACTATCTGTGCAGGTATTCTACTTGAAACTGGAATTGTGGATATGCTTATTTCCATCAGTCCTGTTCAGAAACAAGTGTATGGTGTAATGGTGCCATTGTCCATAACGAGATCCATATTGAGCTCCATATTGTTTATCGTTCAGGTGCTGAGTCTCTCTTACGGCTTCAGCAGAGCACCGACTGAATATAGCTGCAATGAGGGATATGACAGGAATGGCCATATTAAATTTCTTCTCGGCTAACAGTAAATTTTTCCATTCTGATGTCAAGAATGCAGAGCATCTGGGAGCAGAGGACAGAACGAAAGAGAGGGAGGGAGAGAGGAACGTTAGTAGTGGCAGCAGCATGCGCTTTGGGAGCACTTTATCGATTTCCAGCCATATATCCTCCTCTTTTCCATCTCTCCTCTTTCTCTCTCTCTACTGCCACAGGGATACAGAACTGTAACACAAGGATTTGTTGCCACTGGAATAGCTCCCTGTTTCCAATTACATCAGAATGAAAATTTCCACTTCATTTTACCAAATGCAGGAGAAGGGAGAGGGAGAAAAGCGGAGGGACAAGGAATTTCATTTATTTGTATTTCATTTTTATATCTCCATTTTCAGAGGATAAAGATATCTGTCGATGTCCATGAGCAGAATGCATTCAGATCTGAATACAAATCTGAAAATCTGGTTTGGTTGCTGGAATGTAAAAAGGGTCTGAACATATGTATACCCCGTTGCAACAAAAACTTAGAAAGTCATAACGTCCATAATCTACAAACAAGCAAACTACACTTTATTTTTGTGGGTATGCAGAGGTCTTCATCACAGTACTAGGGTGTTGCTAGGTGGTTGCTGGGGGTTCTGGGTGGTGACTTATTAGCCCTAGTCAAAAGAGGCCAGTGTCACGTGACATTCTGGCCACATATGGAACTGGTCCCTTCTTCAGTGTAATAGGTATAGTTTCAAAAACTTAACTTTAATTTCAGACTCAGTTGTAGTCCGCTGTGATTGAGCTCTGATATAGACATGAAATGTGTACTGTCACAAGGAATCAGTGTGTGATTGGACCAAATCTTTTCTACAGGTGTTCAGATGGCTGCTTCAGGATCACATTCCCTCCTGTTCAGTCTAATCACTGTAAAATAACAGATACTCTGGGCTCTGGGGGAAAGCATCACTGTTTCCACAAAAATATTAGTATTAAAATAATAAGAAATGCTTAATGAGCACCAAATCAGCATAATTTCTGAAGGATCATGTGTAACTTTAGACTAGAGTGATGGCTGCTGAACATTCAGCTTAGCCATCAAAGAAATAAATGGCATTTTAAAATGCATTAAAATAAAAATGCTATTTTAAATTGTAATATTTTACAATATTCCTGGTTTTACTGTATTTTTTTTATCAAATAAGTGATGTCTTGGTGAGCATGAGATGTTTTCAAAAACATAAAACCACACACAAAAAAAAGTTTTGAATGGTAGTGTAGATAAAGTTTCAGAAAGCCTCTTTACGTGGTCTTTATATAAATGTCCATCGCCAATGTTGATTTGATTTTAAATTGCTGCCACAAATTTTTATATTTTGTCACATTTGCAGCAATTTACGATGCAAAACAGGGTACAAAATATGGGGTTTATTGCTAAAAGCAATTAGTAGGGTGATAGGAGATGCAGTGTATATGTGCAGTACTGATGTATAGGACTAGACACCACTTAGTGTGAGGCTGTGTGTGTATGATTGGAGTAGATGATCCAGAACATGCAAGTAGATCTGTGAGATCCTGAGCAAGAGCTCTGATGTGGTGTTGTGGTTTGAGGCTGGAGCTGAGAACACAGCGATGAAAACCCTGAAATGGACTCAGACTGCCAAGAGAGCATGCATGTTTGTGTGCTTCATGCATATCGGCTGTTAAGACACACAGATACCTCAAGAACAGATCAAACATTACAACTCATTACAACTTGACGGTTATGTAGCCGTCTAGTTCTATCTCTTTTTGTCGCTATATTTCTCTCTCTCGCTCTCTCTCCTCTTCTATAATTTGTCAGCTCTGGAGGGCCTCTCTTTCTCTCTGTGAATGTAGTTTTCTGTTTTAGGAGGTAAATCAAAGAGAAAATGAATGGAAGTACGCAGAGTGCAGCTGTTTTTGTTTTCATTTTTCCATTCATTCACTCGGTTTTCTCACAGACAGGCATGAACCATGTTCTCCAAGTAGCACCTGAAATACTGACCCCTGAGGTGGTCTTATGCATGAGTGTGTGTGTTTGCGTGACACATATATTGCTTCAGAGAGTCTCTCAGCACTCGAAGGAGAGAAGCACGGCCCAGTGTTAATTTCCTGCTGCACAGCTCACTGAGCCGAGTGTGTGAATCTTTTTGCACTGTTGACTCTTGAACTCATCCAAACAAGACATTCAAAGAAAGCCATTTTACTGTTTTCGAAATGTGGCCTGTGTTGTAAATCTATCTGGTCCTTTTTTTCCGCCAGTTGTCCTCTACCTTGTCTAGTGTGAGGCCAACAGGAGCCAGACAGGGAGCCAACAGAGCATATTTTCCATGCAGACAGCCTCTTTTGTGGCATGCGTTTGTGTGTTTGCATGTGCTATCCTTGTTTCTTTTTACAGGTCTGTGTGTGAGTGGCTAAAAATATGTGTTGTTCCAGAAAGCCACCATGTTTGTGTGCATGTGCACTTAAAGGTTTGTGCGTGTCTGTTCGTGTTGTGTTAACTCCAGACATTTTGGATGACCTCGCTGTTTTTCTGACAGCCTGTGTAATTTAAGCTGCTCTCTATGCCCTGCGCTGCTGTCCCCATATTGCTGTGAATTTGAGAAGCAAGGCCTTCCGCCTTCCACTCCGCCCTGTTGTACTCCAGCTCCGCCATTGATGTCTGAGGAACGCTGTTATTTTCTGGAGACCGCTGGGAAGTGTAGGCGTGTGAAAAGGAAACACTGCTTGGCACAGCATTCTTTCACATCCCGTCTGGTATATTTGGCCTGGCAGCCAATAATGGTCAGTTTACGCGGATCCTTTTGTAGGCTGCTGGGACATAAGGTTAGATGTTGACTGTTAAACTCAGCCTGTGTCCAGATGGTCGGCGGTTGAAAGAACAGTGTTGTAAAGTGACTGACTAAAAGTAGTGACACTACTTGCTTAACGTTTATGAGTAGCGTGACAGCGTCTCAGCTGTTCCCAAAACAATGCAGCTTTGTGCAACAAGTGGTTTAGTGAGAGACAGTGTTGTTTTTTTGATGTCACATTGCAGCGGAGGCCATAATCAAATTTGCTAAGTGAATCTATTTTAAACAGTTACTGTAAAAGAACTGGTTAAAAAAAAAATCCTGGATTTATGATTCATGGAAATGTTGTCATTGTGCAGCATTTTACATGTCTTTGTAGTGAAACCTTTGTTAAATGCTACTGTTTGTGACTGTTTTAAAGAATTCGGGTAAGAATTTCTAATTTTCTATTTATTAAAGCATATACTTTAAGTAAATTTATGATTTCAATACTCTGTTTGTAATATTATATACATTTTAAAAAATATGTTGCACATTTCAAAAGATACATTATTGTCCCTTTAAAAGTATGCTTAGTACTCAGTATTTTTTGCCCAGAAATGAATAGCATTTACTTTTTAAAAGTACATACTCTGGGTGGCATTATAATCGTGTTAAGATTAAAAAAAAAAAAAATTCATCTTAACATGCAACTTTCTCTGCCGATTCTGATTTCCGGGGTTTTTTTTTTTTTTTTGTAAGTGTGACCTGCCGATACCGATTTTTGCCGATTCCAATTTTCTTTGTAAAAACTATAATTGACAGCATATACAAACAAATTGTACTGTACCCCTATTGTACAGTAGCTCGAGCTGAGAGGTGCAAATATATGCGAATGTTCAAGTCTTGCTGTGCGAATCCTCAGGCAAGAACGTGTCTTGTTGCTGAGAGTGAATAAAGGCTGTAAAGGAAAGGTTATGCAGAAAGCCCCTTATTTAGAGATAGTTTAGGCATGTTTTACACCATTCACTAACATTAGAACATTAGTTGTGTATTAGGCTGAAATGTATCGTGTTCTTCTGTTCATACAATAACTAAATCCATGCAGTTATTAGTAAATAACACCCAGTGTGGTCATCTTGCACTTTAAGTTCAAGTTGTGTTAGTGTCCGAATCTGACAGCAGCTCTTAATAGTCATATCTACCGTTCTGGGTTTTTTTGTGTGTATATAGTGCTGGGCGGTATGACCAAAAATTTATATCACGGTATTTTTCAAAATTATACCGGTTTCACGGTACAAGACGGTATTTTTTTTTTCATGCATGACCGAGTGTTAACCATATTTTCTACTGATTGAGAGAGGAAATACTGCAGTATATTGACTTAGAATGCCCTATTTTACTGTCATGATGAGTGAATATTGTCAAAAAATACCACACTAAATAGCGACTAAACACGACCCCTTTTAATACATGTTAACCAGGAGTCACTCTCATTTATAATCGCGGCATCGTCTGATAAAATCAACATGCATCTACACTAAAGAGCGGCTATGCGGTTGTTTTGGCTATATTACTTTTTTGTCTCATGCAGGGCACTGCCTGCGTCTGAGTGACTAACAGTGTCGCATTCCGAACGTTGTTTAAGTGACATATACCGGTATTGCGGTATTTTCAAAATTCATATCATAACAAAAATAAAAACCGGTATTCGTATGAACCGGTATACCGCCCAGCACTAGTGTATATAAGCATGCCAAAGATATTATGATGTGTTTATGCTTGTTGAAACATCACAGGCATACTAATGAAACTTTAGGGATTTGATTCACAGTTCCAGTTGTGATTCCTAGAAAAACAGGAAGTAGCCAGACAAAGGGAGGAAGTGAGGTGCAGCCTGGGAGAGGACCATATTTACAACCCTCAGTTTGACCCAGTGAGCATGCTGAAGTAAACCATGATGTTGTCATTATTATTGTTATTATTATTATTTTATTAGTGTAGTGAATAATGTTTGAAGACTATAATGTCACGTTAGAATGTGCCACTGGAGAATAATCTTTATAGCCCATTTGACATGCATCAGGTGTCTTGTGTTAGTTCAGATTTTCTGGGTCTTGTTTATATCTACCTATATTTTCTCTTTGGGTATTGGCTATGTGTGTGTCTGGGTGTGTAATGTGTTTCCTGTATTTCCTCTGCAGGTCTGTATGAGCTGTTGTCTGTACTGCCGTCTCAGCTGCAGCCTCATGTTGAAGGCGCAGATGACCGCTCTTTTCTACACGCTATGTTTGGGGAGAGGAGTCTACATTCATTGGTCAAGGTGAGTGTATGTGTGCAGTGTTAGACGTAGTCTATTCTTTAAGATGTGACGTAACACACTGTCACTAAATCTCTCTCTCTCTCATTGCGTCTGTGATTGTGTTTTTAAAGAGAGTGTTGTGATGCTTGTACAGTTGGTTATATAAGAAGTGCCGATCTAAAGGGACATCCAGAAAAATGTAAATCAGAGATTTATATTAAATGAGACTTGAAATAGCACGTAGGTCGTATGCCATGTTGATGCTAAATCCAAATCTGTGTTTTTAATTGTTTTTGTCATTTCAATTCTTCTCTCTCTTCTTATTTAAATTTATTATCTGGCTTGTCTTTTTGAGAGGTTTTCACATGCCACTTTTAGGAAATCAGTTTAGTCAGGTTGTGCTGTGCCTGTGTTTATCAGCTTTCACTTGCTTTTAATTTCAATTCCTTTGATTTGATTCATTTCATTTTTCTTCCCCTAATTCTTTTTATGTCGCACACAGTGTTTTAATGGTCAATCACTGATGTCACTAATACTATGGTACTTGGGCCCATTTGTGATACATAGTTCACTGACTGTATGTTCCGTTGTACACTGGATTCTAAGTGCTGTGGACTGAGCTGGCTTGTGCTTCAGAAGTGCTTTGTATAACCGTCTACCCGTACCCGCAGAGGCAGAGGAGGTCTGACAGGCAGGACAACAGACAGTCTGAGCCAAAGACCTCTGCTCTCTTCTCTCCATACAATTAAAGCAGGGTTTCACACATGTCCAGCTGCACTCTGTTCCTCTGCCAAGGTGCCACTCCAAAGAGCCTTACAGGAAATCTGACACAACCTGTAATTTCCACCTAGGTGTGTGTGTGTGTGTGTGTGTGTGTGTGCGCACTGTGCGTCTCTATGCAAGACGAGAGAAAGATAAAGGAAGATAAAGGCATTTTCCTTCAAAATTGTTCTAGGGAGAAGTAAAATGCTCTGAAAAGTTTTTTGTCTTTACTATAAAGTTTGATCAGATTAATTTTTTTATTGTATTATTTTTATTTTTTTTGTAAGGCAGCATTTATGCAGATATTTTATTCATTTTTTTCGCATATGGATTTTGTAAATTTTTTGGTGGTTCCCCCCACCACCAACACCTAATCCTCAGCTCGTAAACTTATCCCAGCTGTAAGATCAGCTGCTAATGTCTGTGGTTTTCACCTCTGTACATTTCTGTATTTGTCAGATTCAGCACAGACTCCTGTATTCAGCCCTCAAGGGGGAACATCACACACCTGTGGGGCGATGGGGAAAGGTGAACTCCTCAGAGGAGTCTGAGGTTTAGGTCTGCAGTAGCATTACCTGTGTGTGGGACTTTAACAGCCTTATTTGTTCTTATTTACTAAAGCAGGCATAATGGAGCACAAATGATTACTCTTTCCTGCTTTCCCACTCACAGCATGTATGAAGTGCCCAATCTGGCCTTGTTTCATTCATTTCCCCCATGGAAAATGTAGTTCCAGACCTGAAAAATGGGCCCCTTATCCAGAATCCAGTAATATCAGTGGCCAGGGAGCAGGGTAATGTCCTCACCATCTAAAGAAATGTTAGATTACCTTTGATCAGATCAAATTTCTGATTTTGTTGAGTATCATGGTCATGAACTAAAAAGGAACAATGACTGTATAACATACATTTATAAATTAAAGTCTGTTTAAAGCCAGTGTGTGACTGCATAAAGTCACTTAATTGTGATGCTTTAAATACACTAAAATTCATGTCAAAAGTTTATCAGTAAGGATTTTTTTTGTGAAAAATGTAAATGATAATGTTACAAAATATTTCAAATAAATGCTTTGCTTTTTGCTTTCTCTATTCATCAAACAGTTCTTAAAGGGGTCATATGATGTTGCTAAAAAGAACATTATTTTGTGTATTTGGTGTAATGAAATGTGTTTATGCGGTTTAAGGTTAAAAAAACACATTATTTTCCACATACTGTACATACATCGTGACGTAGACATGTGGGGCGTGTTAGAACGAGCCGTTTTAGGTAGGCGTGGCTGACTCTTAAATTTTATAAAGAATATCTCTTTGGATTTGAGACTTTAGTCTTTGCAACTTTACAGATCTTGTTTATGCACCAAGAGCTTGTAACACTCCAAAGAGAAAGGAAAAATTGAAATTGCATCATATGACCCCTTTAAAAATAAAAAATAGTAGCTGTTTTCAACATTGATGATAATAGGAAATGTTTCATGAGCACCAAATCAGCATATTGGAATGACGTGGGATATTTGTTTGTGGGAAGGTAATATAGTAACAGCTTTGTATCAGAGTCAGGAAAAGGGCTACCTGAGAACAGTATGGTATGACGTTAAAGGCTTTTGCTGGTTATTGTTGTTGTTGTTGTTATTATTATTTTATAATTTCACTTGACCTTGGCAAACCCAGTCAAAAAAATCAGTTCCACTCTCACTATATTAAGGCTTTCCATATAGAGTCAGGCAGTTTAAATCTCACACTTATCTATTTATCAGTTTATAGCACAGATGGAAATGTCTGCCCTACTGTTGAATCTGAGACGCTGAATATGTATTTGTTGGAGTCCCCGTTGCTGGCAGTTACGGCTATACATTTTCCTACTTAATACCGAGCCACCATATTAATGTTTGTGAAGTCTCTTAAAGAGCAGCTGGTGTCTGATTCCGATTCTTTATAATCCGTATTCTGCATCCAAAATAAATTCCCAGAGTAATACAAGTCTTCTGCATTCACTGCCTGGACTCTGCAAGCTCCAGAGTCAACAAATGCATATCTCTGTACACACATACTCACATATGCTTGAGTGAGAGTGTGTATTTTTTATGTGTGCGCACATGCGTTTGTCAGGGATACTAAATGTGCTTGGGATGGAATGCAGACATATATGGTATATGTTTAATCCATAAAGCCACTGACGTATTACATTATACACACATTTAGAGCATTAGGGCTTGGTTACAGACACAAGGGGCGAGGGCAAGACCTCATCTGAGGAATGTTGGAGCATTTCTCATACAAGCCAATCTGAGATCATATACTGCTTTTACATGACAGGCACCTTTTTTCTTCTTTCATAAGGAAAATGTGGGCTATGTCTCCCGATTTTGGATCTTTCCACTGTGTTCACAATGCCATAGCTTTCATAAATCTAAATTAGCGCATTTCAAGTGCCACACGTACTGTAAAATAGTGCCTTTCCTTCTATTTTATGAGTTGTGAAACTGGATATTAGAAATGAGGAATGCCACACATCACTGCAAAGATGTTTGCCCTTCATTTCTGGAACAGATATGCTGGTTTAAATGTTAATGTTATTTAAGTTTAAGTTCTGACGTAACTTTTAGCCAGAACATTAACCAGTGTATCTGTTGAACTTTTCATAAAGATGAGTTAAATAGGTGTGTGTCGCACCCGTCCTGTATGGTGGGGTTTGTGTAAACATCCCTCTCTGACAGGCATCTCACAGTCAAGCCCATCTGTCTGCAGGCTTTTCCTGTCTTGCTCTCTGAAGGTCTGCGATCAGTTTAAGTGTGAGGTGATGAGGTGCAGTAGGGCCGCTGGTGCTGTTTTGGGCCACGCAGGTCTTGGACCATCAGGGGTTACTTGATCCAGCTGCTCTGGTCACTTTGAGACAAGCGGAAGAGAAGAGGTCAATATCATTTTAACATTACGGATGTTCGCTGTAGCCCAGAGCAGAAATGCTATACCCCTAATACATACCATTGCCATGCAACTCACTATCTCTCAGACCCCTGTATTAAGATGAATTTTGGTCAATCACAAGTAGAAAAGGGAGAAACGTTTCTGCTTGCACCTGGTGTTTTAAGTGGTCTGTTTTGTCCACTTTCAACCACTTCCCTGATTTCTGTAAAGGAGGGTTTATGGGCGGGTGTATGTATGGACTTTAGATCTAATATCTAATATTGCGAAATAAGCTTGTGCTATTTACATATGAACGCGAAAGGAGAAAACAGAAAACTATACAGAAAGCAGCAGCTTTCATTTCTGCTCTGATAGCAGCAAAAGTACACTGAACGTTTTTTTTTTTAAAGACATTTCTAATGTTACAAAAGACCAAAAAAGTATCTGTTTCTACAAAAAAATAAGCAGCACAACTGTTTTAACCTTGATCATATATATATATGTCTTGAGCACCAAATCAGCATATTAGAATGATTTCATGTGACACTGAAGACTGTACAAATAGCTGCTGTAAATTCAACTTTGCCATAAGTTACATTTTAAAATAGAACAGTTTATTTTAAATTCTAACAATTCAATATTTCACTGTTGTCACTGACTGAGCAAAATAAACGTCTTTCAAAAACATAAAAAAAAAAAAATCTTATTGACACCAAACCTTTGAACGGTAGTGTAATTGTTCCACATCAGTCACAAATGTTTCCTTTTACTTAGAATGCTGTCTTAGAAGGCAGCTGCCTATGTAAGTAGAACCCAGCTGATTAATTTTTGAAACTGAGCCTTTTTCTTTGATGCTTTCTATACTCATCTCCCCATCTTTGCCCTTTTTCTCCCTCCATTGTCAAATTCCCTAAATTCCACATCAAGTTTCCTCTCCTCCGTATCTGTCAACGTTCAGTGTAATTGTGTTTAAAGCTGTTTGTTTGGCTGCAGAACGCTCTTGGAGGACCCGGAGGCCAGACTGGCTGCAGTTTCTCTCACCTGCTTATGTTCTCCGCTCGTGTTTTGTCAAGGGCCTGTGGGTATTGAACGTTTGGTCCAAGAGGATTTAGACACTGCTCCATAGTAGCCTGTGATCTGAACCTTGACCACAAAACATACTGTGTTTACCGAAGCATTTCTTTGTTTATTCATATGTTTTAATACTCATTACTAAAGTGTCAAGCCAGAGATCAGTAAAAATGACACCATTTTATGATGGCTAGTCAAAGGAAGCATATGTTGTGTTTTTAGGGGGTGTTCACATAAGGTGCTTTCTTTTGTAAAAAAAAAAAAACAGTTGGACAGAACGCTACCATT